ATATAACTCAAAACATGTTTCCGCTGCATTTTCTTAATAGACAGAGTTTTGCAAAATCTAGTCGCTTGCGTAAAAGCATGTTCGCAAGGATGGAAATTAGTTGCAAGCTTTTATGAACCTACTTTTTGAATTAGGTCCTATCTAAACACAGAGTTAGGGGGTTCAAGAAACAGAGATAAATAGTTACATTAATAGTTTTATATTGTTGATAACTTTTACTCGTCGCTAATGGCCTAATGCTCAGACAACTGCATAAAATATCTTCCTAGTAGTCTTAGTTTGAAATGGCATCATCAAAGACGACATATTTGATCTAATTATTTTGAGACGATGCTTAAACGAGCGAAACGTACTCCAAGTGTATTTCAAGCTTTGGTCCCGAAAGCAAGCTTTTTTCTTGTTTAGTTCGCTGTTGCTAATTTTTTCTGTGGGCCAGTTTTGCCAGATCTCTCAGGCAGAACTGGATAAACAACCTGTCATGTTGCCCCCGTACGTACTCCTCAAGTTGAAGTTAATGATCGTGCGTGCAAATGGGTAAGCGCTGTGGATCTTTTAAAAGTGCATTCAGTATTTCTGCGAATATAAAACTATTGCATATGTGTAGTGCCGTAATTGAAGTGAAGTGTAAGCTACAAACCGTACAATGCTCAAGCAAACATCATTAATGAATTGAATGAACTGTTCGATGCCGAGGCCTACCCTAACACTTACGATTTTGTTCTCCCATACTAAGTGCATACATATAAGGAAATCGGAAATACTATAAAAGAAAAATAGGAAATTTGTAATACATAATAAACAGGCTATTTTATGAATCCAAACTGCCGTGATTTTTCAACCGCCTTGGAACAAAAAGGGAAGTCCATTTTACAATAAGTTTTCTTCACTTCTTCTTCTTTTCCTAAACCCAAGCCATGATTCATATATCTGAACGATAAGGAAAAGTTGTTACGGTTGGATAATAAACATTGCGTTCCCATCGATAGATTTGCGCCTATCCTTATTCGCCTGAAGCACAGTATTGAAGATGAAACCTGCAAGACGGTGGGATTTTAATCATTGTTTCGCCTTTGATTGTTTTTTTCATGTAACCGAGGAGCCTGTTAAAAACGCTGCGCTGCAACACGGCTGCTTTCTGTTCTTATGGGCTCCAGAATTTATGGCGATCCAGAGTGACACCACTGGACAACCAGTAAACCATTCCAACAGACAATCGGAAAGCGGCAACAATAGCTCGACAAGTACAATTGTATAACATATTCAATACCCATTTCATTAGTGCCAAAGAGAACTATACCGAACGCGCAAATCAAAATCAAATGGGAGCCTATGTTTCGAAAAACGGATATGGATAAATGCAATTATTTGTATGTATAGGATTGGTAAACCCGCAATAAAATACTTTAATATATCTGTGACTTCGTTTATGTCCCCATTCGAGTGCGAATACACAAGCATATGCGATCTCAAAAACCAGTCCACTCCCAGCTATCTTATATACGAATACGATCCCCAACTTCTCCGAGCCAGCTACTCCTGAAGTATTCCTCCCATCCTCCGACCCTTCTGCGACCAGCCCGAATTTCGATTCCAGTTCCGATCATTGCCTTAGAGCTCCAACATCTCTCCCCCCCCCCCCCCCCCCCCCCCCCCTCGCCATCAACCCCTTTTCCCCTTCCGAAAGATATTCTCGCGTGGCAATGCACCTGTCGCGACCAATGCTTGTTTAGAGCACCAACAAGCAGAAGAAACCGCGATGATGATGATGCGGGCAAACTGGCCGAGCCACGGAGCTAAGAATTTGAATAGTGCCACTGCGAGGAAACACAGTATACTCACCTTTTCCTAAGGAACCCGGTTGAGATTAGATATTTTTGAGTCGTACTCATTTGACTAGGTGCCTCAAGGATTGCATTACCGGCATTACCGTGGGCAACTTAACGATATTTATAGAACAAATATATATAAATATGATACGTATATCTATATATAAATTATATTATGGCACTTTGAAAATTCACTTCATTTTCCTACGTCACATTTAATGCGTTCCGTTCCGACTATTTCCCGTTTGATTGCCTCACGACACGTCTAGAAACGTATTGATACTTTGGATCATGATCATGGCACATATAAGAGCTCCCCCCGCGCGCTATAGCTTAAAGATATACATCTTTCCATTTTCTATGGATTTTCAGACAACCCATTGCCAGTTCATAATTCACGTTGTGTGCATAATCACTATTTGAGTTCAGCTCCGTATCTTATCGAAATTTTTGCGCTCGGAGCTTGCAAGTGCAATTATTGATCAGCAGCAAAAACCAAAACCGTTCTGCACTGTGCTGCGTATTTGAACTTGATTGCTTTGTCTTGGCGTTGACTTTGATCAATGCAAAGGAAAATGTGAACTGCATGACACGGAATTCTACAAAAATATAGAATACACATCATCACTAGGCTCAGTGGACTTTATTTGTATTTGTAGCTAGCACTAAACACAAATGCACAACACAGTGTACAAGCCAGATGCACGTGCATGGCATTCACATGCAAAAGTGTTGCATCCATTGTTGCATCTTCGCAATCAGTACATTGCAGGCTTGAGTCAAAAGTCATTCTGATTCCGACCCAAAGTCGGCATAAGTTAGCCCGCGCACGTGGAATGTTACCACCACTGTGTAGCGATGTTCAATAGTCACTGATTCATACCAATGCTTTTAGCTGTTAACTGCATGTTAAAGTGGTACATTAAGAGAACGTATGTTATATTGTAACATTAAAGAGAATTTTAAAAGCGTGATTTTTTTCTCTTTTTTGAAATATTTTTAACATTTTCTCTTTGCAGAGAGCGAATAAAAATAAAAGGGGCGTGGCCAACGAATTTGAATTTGGTTTGTTTTAAAATCGACAACGTCCAATCGCGGCTCTGAAGTTTGACATTCTCGCGCACGTCGATTTTTGCAGCAAATTTACTTTAAGTCCTATCTATTAAAGAAACAGGAACTACAAATACACGATGAATATTTCCAAAATATGTGTTTATTTGGTATCTTAAAGCATGATTATGAATATGTTTGTACATGAAAAGACAAATAATAAAATGAACAAATTAATACAGTTTTTGAAAGTGTGGCAGTTTTGGGCGGCTTGAAGGCGTTAGAGTGTGACAACGTTCTGAAACATACTTGAAATTCAAATTCGCATTTCATTATCAACTTTCTAGCCTTAACCAAAACCAAATTTTTCGTGTCGCAATTCGAAAACTTTATAAAAATGCGAATTCCATTTAAATCGATTACGCATTTATGGATGTTAAAAATCGGTACGTGTGTTTGCTTATTTCATACAATGTCTCGGATTGGTTCAACACTTTGCTGAATTCGGTAATTTAGCATTTTGTGGAAAACGTTTAAGATTGTCTTACATTATGTAACTATTTTAAATTAATTTTAGTAAGCCGTCTTTGATGCAAACCTTTTTTTAATATATAAACAGTTTCCTGGAGGCTTTAGTAAGGTACAAAAACAATTTTAGGGCAGTTTAAGTGTCTAGCAGTTATTTTATACATTGTCCTAGACCAAAAAAATATTCAATAACGTTTTGAAAATGCATTGTGTGAAAATCCATTTGTATTTGTATCTTGGAATTTGGTATGTGTGTAGCAGAGGCAAAACCCATTGTATAAATTTAGTCATGTAGATCTATTGCAAACGTATTTAAATATAAATTTTATTATATAGAACCCCAAAGCAAAGCACTAATTATCCTAAACCTAAGCCTGAGCGAACATCGCAGTTATAGAAGCTTCAAAGTAGTTGAGCTTTTATTTTTTCACAACTGTAAAAGCAATCTTAAAAAAGCGTCCATTCGCAGTAATCAGTATTTCCACAGTTGCCATTCTGAATTGTTAGCATGGTTAGCGTTACCATCCCAACATATACGGATTTCAAGTGCTGCCATGCTGATTTCTAATTGAAACTTATCGTAGAAATCAGAATGGCAACTCTCGACATGTGTAGAAACCAGGTTGACAGCTCACAAATAATGTAGATTTTAAAAAATGAACAATAGATGGCTATATAGCCACGACCGCAAACTGAATAAATCTCCCACGCCAAACTTTTGAGAAATGTTTGTATTTCCTGCTAATTTATATCGGTATACGAACAACTTTTTGACCACGCCCACAAGCCGCTCAAAACTGTCACGCCGACACTTTGGAAAATGTTTAAGTTTTTTTCATTTCATTATTTTTTCCCCAATTCCCACCGATATTCCAGAAAATTGTGAAATTTTTCTTTTGCACTTCCACTAGCTGAGTAACGGGTATCTGATAGTCGTGCAACTCGACTATAGCATTCTATATTTTTTCAATAGTCGTTTCTTTATGCCAATTGTGATCAATTTGATAGTATCTGGTAAACTATATGCAAACATGATAAAAAGAACAAAAGTGACTTTGTGCTGTTTAAGTATGAAACGCAGTGGTAATTTATGTCCAGTACAAACAAATTAAAAACAAAAGTTGTATAATTAAAAGAAGTCCTTCGTGGCCACCACTGTAACTCAATACAGTTATATACAGTGATTTTTTTCAAAGGACCCTGAAACTCCCACCAATGGGATTCTCATATCAACAGTTGACCAATTCCACACTAGCGCCCACAAGCCCACAAAATCTGGGACACATGCATGTTTGTTAATTGTTTTTTATTATTGAACTGAAAGATATTATTAAAATAAGGTCAAGCTGAGTCTTTATTACTCATTTTTCTTGGTCAAATTCGGCTTAGATTCTGTTGATTTATAAAGATTTGATATGACTAGAACTGGAACCGTACTGAAAATGTAACTGAAATGTACATTACTTTGAATTGTATTAATACACTAAATTTATTTTGCATTCCATGAAGTTTAACAATAGTTTAACACTTTTTATGCACGTTTAAATCTACATTGAAAGAACACTATTTAATAAATACAATGGTATGGTATGGACTTGTGTGGGTGGGTGGTCAATTTGTAATATAGTTTGTTATATATCTTTTACAATAATTGTTTGTTTTCTTGCCAAAGAATTGATCTATTACTTTTGTGAGACCATTTCGATTTTTGGAGGTGGCGTAATAGAGGAAGTCCGCGAACTATTTGACGCATCAATACTGGCTCGTCGGGCAGCTGCGGCAATATATGATCCGTAGTACCTACTAAGCATGTGTGGATCAACTTGGTTGAGTTCAATATATGCATCTGGAATGGGAACTGTCAGAGCTGATGGTTTCGCAGTAGGTATTGACGGTATTGACGATATGAGTGCAGTTGGGGGCGGGACAATGCCCTCTTCTATAGGACAGTCCTCTAGTGAGCTAGACTCCTCGTTTTGGCTACTACTGCTAGCCAAGGACCTCGCTGCGGAGCTGGAAATTGAAAAGTTGTGCTGTTCCAGTTCTTCGGGATCGTGGTCATGATCATGCTCGGGATCGGCATCGGCATCATATGAAGATAGCCTGCCATTGATTAGGTACGAGTTATTGTCCTCAATGGAAAATATTTGCTTCAAAGTGCCCCTTTTTTTTTTCCTTTCTTCTGCATCCGCATTAGAATCAGGGTCAGGATTAATGCTATCGTCTACCACGTCGACATTAACTTCTACATCAATATCTGTGTCAATGTCTGCATCTGGCACAGGTTTTTCTAATTCCAAAACTACTTCGCGGTGAATAGTTTGTTTGGTAATGACTGTATGATGAGTTTGAGTCGTTGTCCTCGCCGAAGTGGTTGGCGTAACTGAGGACTCCTGGTCTTCAGAGACAATATCAACGATTTGGACATCGGGTGCCAGTAGCGAAGCCACGTCAAACTGGCGCTTCCGTGTCTGCGAAAACATATTCGCGATTGTTGTTGTCGTGGTGGAGTTGATATAGGCAATGTGCTGCTGATGGGTATGTTGCTGCTGAAGCTGAGCTGGTTGGATTGTCTGATCCAGGTGATTAGCCTGTTGTCGTTGCATTAACAAGGATGGATCTGGCGAGGAATACTGTGTCATACCAGGTGCTGAGCTCCGGTTAAAGAATTGATCGATATAATGCTGGTGGTATGGATAGCCCAGAACAGGTAGTTGCAGTGCGGGCTGGGAGCTCGGTGGAGGTGGAGTTGTTAGATCCAACGGCGGCGGGCTGGGCGAGTCAGTACTGGCATCATCCACTGATAGACCCATATGCTTTCGGACCTTACGTTGCGCCTTGCGACGTCTGAAATCCCCTTTGCGAAAATCATCCATGTTGGCTGGATGTATTGCCCAGTAGTGCCCCTTGCCATTTGCACTTCGGCCAGATTTGATAAAACAATCATTCAGGGAGAGATTATGTCTGATGGAGTTTCTCCAGCCCGGGCCCCGACTTCTGAAGTAAGGATAATTGTCCAAAATATATTGATAAATGTCTGAGAGGACCAACTTCATATCAGTTGAGCTCAATATGGCCATGGCTATCAAACCAATATAGCTGTGTTGCGGTTTAGGCTCCTCGGGTTGAAAAATGCGTTGCGTTTGTGGGAAGAGGGAAATTGTTGAAAGAGCGGCCATTCGGTTAACCGATGGAAAATTGCCTGAGCTATGGGGTGCGTAGGGACTTAAATGTAACCAAGGACCACCAGCCCCACTGCCTCCCGTCCCACCATATTGGGGGCAGCGTAGTCGTTCAATATTTAGGGCATAGTTATAGAGCTGGAGGCGGTATTGTTCCAGAGTCATCGTCGTTGATTGAGCTTGTGAAGTTCTTGTCGATCCAAGTGGGTATATGTTGGGCAAGGATTGCTTTGGGACATTGCTGTCGCTTGAAGACGTTCCCTGATCATGGTCGGCCTTGGTCGCCTGCGAAGCACAAATGTCAGAGTGCGCCATTTGCTACTTTACTTTCACACTAAAATGACATTGGTAACACCATCGAAAACCATCCAATTTGACCTGTTTAAAATAAACAAAAACAGTTTCCCTTTTAATATAAGTCATTATATTTAAACAGGCAACCAGATAAAAGAGAAGAGTATGCTATAGTCGAGTTTCTCGACTATCAGATACCCGTCACGTGGGAGTCTTTTGCCAAAAGGATATTTTTGTTTATGTTTATGTCTTTTTAATATATATGTATATGTATTTATTCGTGATTTGGATTTAAAGTCGGGTCAGTCAAGCCAACTGTCTGAATTTATCGGTATTTTTTTTTTTAATTTAATAAAATAACATTATTGGAATAAAGAAAAGAGAGGAAACTAACTAGTTAGTTAGTAATGCGCGTTTCTGAGACTGCACGCTACCGTCTATTTGTATGCTTTACCCTCAGTAAAATCTGTCTAAAATTTTTTTGACATAGAAAGTTGCAACGTTTTTAAAAGATCGAGTTTTGCTCTTAGAGTGTACTTGGCGATGTTCTGCAACAAATTTGAACAGCACAGGCGTTTCTAGGATCTGCAAAATTTATCTTAATTTTTTTCAATTTTAAATTTCGCTATATCTCGACGTTCATATAATGGGATGGGCAGTAGGACAAGCCAAAGTACATCGACTTGGCCAGCGATCTAGACTTTAAAAAAGATCTAAAGTGCATTGTTTAAGAAAAATACCACGTGAATTATTAGCTTGTTATTAGGCTTATACTTATTAGTCTTCCTAGGGTTTGCATCGCAAGAATAACTATTTTCACATCAGTAATAGTTAAATTTTTCAATTGCTTATATTTTTTTGTTGTACTTGGACATATATGAAAATATAGAATGCTAAGAATGCTAGAATGAAAGTACAATTTTAAAATTTTCGCATTGTTATTTTTTTATTATTTGGAAGAAAATATGAGAAAATCTTTATAAATTTATAAACGGACTGGTAACGGCAGTCAATGTTGGTGACCTTTTTAAATAAAAAAAACTATAATAAACAAAAACACGAACAGATAAAATAACAAAGTCTTAGATAATTTATATATTATATTCAGTCATATTCATAAGATAAAATCAGATCTTTTGTATGTTGCAGTTGCGACTTTTTTTTGTATAGTTTTACCTTCGATAGAATCGATTAGAAATCAATGGAATTGAAAACATTTTTTAGCTTCGTTGTATTTGGTCTTATGTGCTTCTTCTCTAAAGAATACTTGTTTTTTTTGTAAAGAATTTCCAGTTCATTCTTTTCAAAAACACACATTTCTTTCATAATAACAGGCACACCCGTTACTCAGCTAGTGAAAGTGCGAACGAGAAATTATAACCTTCTTCTGGCATATCGAAAGAAATTGACAAAAAAAGTAATAAATTGAAAAAAATTTCAACATTTTTCAAATGTGTGGCCGTTAGAAGGGGAGTTGCGTTAAAGTGGGCGTGGCAAAAAGTTTTTTGGAAAATCGAACTAATTTACAACAAAAAAAAATGGAAAAATATCAAAACACTTTTTAAAAGTTTTTGGCAGTTTATGGGCGTTAGAGTGGGCGTGGCAACATACTTTTACAAACATCCGCTGGGTCTATGTCTCTGGAATATGCATGACTATTCTCAACTTTCTAGCCTTAAAAGTTCCTAAGATCTCGACGTTCATACGGACGGACCGACGGACATGGCCAATAAGTATATAAATATATACTTTATATGGTCGGAAGGGCATCCTTCTGCCTGTTACATACTTTCCAACGAATGTAGTATACCCTTTTACCAAGCGAGCTGTAATATTTATGACTTGATGTTTATAAACAACGTTTGCGGCTTACCAAAGCTAACTTCTCTTCTTTGATTTATAAATAAACCCACTGGACAAAACCGGTAGCAAATCTAGCCAATATTGGGAACGTACCTGATAGTCGGGGAAATTTCTCTTATTGTATTTTTGTTTGAGCCCAATCAACTCTCGACCTCTCGATCATGGAGGAGAGTAACGGTGTACTTTTCAGACTTTGTTACGTGGTCAATATTCCACCCATAAATCAGTTCATCGGGTAAAGAAATAGGCTCCTATTACGAACATCTGCTTATCTTACTGAAAGGTATATGGTACGACCAAAGCTGAACTCATTTTCAATCAAAGGCATTTACATATGTTAATAAGTACTCATCTTTACGTCACTGTTCAAGTGATGAGAAGTTGTTTCTTTTTTGAATGATCTTAGTCAATAAAATATAAAACTCAATATTGAGTGAGATTGGTATATAAAAAAAAAAATTATTGGGCGTGGTCCAGAAAATAGTATAATTGTTACCAAGCATCAACCAGGCAGCCATAACATTGCCAAACATTTTTTGAAACTAGCAAAACAGTTGGAGGTTGGCAGGATCTGTCCTGAGGGGCTAATTATTTGATATATGTAGTCGTCCGATCTGAGTAGCTATACCCGTTGCTCGTAGAGTAACACGAATAAGACAGGTTTTCCGACCGTATAAAGTGTTTATATGTTTATATGTATATTCGTGATCAGGGCGGCCATGGATCGATCGACTTGACCAGTGAAATCGAGCCATGTCCGTGCTTCTGTCCCCTGTTCTTGCGATTAAGAATACAGCTGTGGAAGTTAGTTTTAAAACATTTCTGGCACTCACTGGAATGACCACAAATGAAAGACTTGGTAACTCCTTTTTTTGGGGCCACATCTATTTTATACATCTGTAAAACTTTTTAAATTGCTCCTTCACTTTTAGAGAACCCATATATTGAGAAACCATATATTATAATATTATACACCGTCTGCACTTACGATTTAAATCCATACAACTGTATAAGTAAAGCATGACTCCATCTCGTCACTCCATTTCCAGTACATTTAATAATAATTACTTTGGACAACAACTGCTTATCACTGTCACTGAATGGTAAACTGTAACTATTCATAAAAACACGATAATGGCACAAATGTAATGGACACGAATGTAATGGCACTGCCTTCGACGTGAGCGCACCAGCATGGGCGATTTTCTTTATAGTTTCATCAAGCGAAATTTTGGTGAAAATCAGGAACGTGCGGTCGACGCGGTGCTCAAACTATGTCTGAGTCGGGCTAAAATGGCTGAGGGCTTGGCCATTAGGGTGCAAGTAGCACAAACGCGGTTCAGGCCACGCCTTGCCTTACCCTAGCGCTTTCCATTGGTCGAAAAAATCACGCGCTCAGGGTGGCATTCAAATATTCGGTGATGTGTGGCCTGTCCTCTTCAGGCCATTCATGGTATTAGCGCTGTCTCTCTTGGTCCTCTTAAAAGTTAAAATGGGCCTCGACCAATTACACCTACACCCATCTTGTTCTAGCACTCGCATTTCCGAAAGAAGAAAATCGACATGTGGGCTTTAATTCTTTTTGTAGAAAGTGCGGTGTATATATGCATTCCCAAAATATATAATAGGAAGTTTATTTAATTTTTTATATGTATGGATTTAAGGTATACCGAATCTGCATCGTAGGTAATCAATAGGAGCGCCATCAGATTGCTCATTTTATTAAACTGTGTTTGAAAACATGCTAATAAAACAAAAATAAAGTGTAGATGCAGAACCGGTTTTCCATAAAAACAATTTTTTCGGGATCAATGCTAATTCATAACAATTTTTAAAGGTTATTATATTCTACAAATATGAGAATTATTCATTAAAGTAATATCTAATATGACGGAAACTTCATTTATGAAAAGGCTGTATTTATAAAACGGATGCCAACATTATTATATTGACAATTCAATATTGTAAAAAACTGGATTTTTTTTTGTTTATGTTGGTACCCAACGTTTAATAGTTAATTACTTTATTGGCCATACCTGTCGACATATCAAAAACTTTTTTGTAATCTCTTGCCGTTATTAAGGTGTATACAATGCAGCATTTTTGTAAAACTTTCACTACTATATTGGCTAAATGCAAAATAAATTAAAACATCAACGGAATTATTAAATAACTCCTTCATTTTCAGTTTTATAAGCTAGAAGTTATTATTGTATAGGGATTTTCCCTTATTTATACAAACATTTTCTGGAAGCTACGGTTAAGCAATGATTGGTAAAGCAATCACAAAAGTTGTACATTTTGAATGAAAAACTTATATTATAACTATACTACTACTACTATGCTCTTTCCATCATTGACAAATATAAATGAATATTCAATTGAAAGGAAGCTGTGTTGAAACTATTTGAACATGTATTTTTATTTTTAATTTTCGGATCAATGCCAGCTAAATAGTCGACTGTTTTACGTACCCTGGCTAAAACCATTTTTTTATTTTAAAAACGTTTAAACCTCCCACGGATTAAACCTTAAGAAACCTTAAGAAAGCGATGTACTTATATAGGTAAAGACGTACTGGTATTTGAAGAGTTGTTTTATTCCAAATCTACCTAACTCTGGTTGATGGGCGGTAAGCCCATATGCTCATTGTTAAAATCCTAATCTTGTCGACTCCTGGTAACCTTGTCACCTTTCTGGGATTACTGGTCGCACAACCTCTTTTAAAGATTGCCAGCAATATGATTAAGATTTGCCAAATAATACCTCTTTGTCATTCAACACTTACATATCACCTTTCGAAGTCTGACAGGCTCTATAAGTAAACAATTTGCTGAAATCATTGTTATTATTTGTATTCGACACTCTTTTTCTGATCTATTATGAGACTATATTTTCTTAGAATACCTAATGGAAACCACTTCAAATTGTTCTTTGGTAAACAGTAGTCTAAACAGCTGATATTAATTCCTTGTTTAGGTATATAAAGGACGCTATTTTGTTTAGAAATTATCAAAATAATGAAAACAATTACTCTCCTTAAAAGTGGTAGAATGAAGTTGTAGAATTAATCATAAATGAAAAAGGACCCTAGCTGAGGCAAGCCGAAGCATTGAATATATATACTATATATGATCGCAAGTATCCCCCTACGCCGTTAAGAACTTTTGACTGAAATCAATATACCCTCTACAAAGGTATGAACAACAATGTTCAATACTCTGGTACGCTCCGTGGATTGCCGTCCACTGTAATTCGCGTTTTAGATTTCCACGCGTTTCATAGTTAATGGCATTATGGAGTTGTGAGCAGTTAATGTTTGTTATAGAGTTTTTATACTCGTAGAGTTGCTCGTTGCTCGTAGAGTTAAAGGGCATACTAGATACGTTGACAACTATGCAACAGGCAGAAGCGTTTCCGACTGTATAAGGTATATGTATTCTTGATCAGGATCAATAGCGGAGTCGATCTGGCCATCTCCGTCCGTATGAACGTCGAGATCTCAGAATATCAGGATGTATAGAAGCTAGAAGGTAGAGAATGGGCATGCAGACTCCAGAGACATAGACGCAGTGCAAGTTTGTTCAAATTCTTGCCACGCCCACTCTAACACCCACAAGCCGCCCAAAACTGTCACGCCCATACTTTACAAAAAAAAAAGGTTTAGATATTTTTTCAAAATTTTAAATTTGCTTTTCAATTTATAATTTTTTTCTCCAATTTCTACTGATATTCCAGGAAATGTTGAAATGTATCGTTCGCACTTTCACTAGGTGAGTAACGGGTATCTGATACTCGAGTAACTCTACAATAGCGTTCATTCTTGTTTATTTTGTATTTCTTTATAATAAAAAATAATTTACCTGGCCCATCTCTGTGCCAAAAATTTGAGAAATCTATATAATGATACTCTGTATAGCCATTAGTTGTGTATTCACTTAATAAAAAGTAAGGACCAACCTAAAAATATTTAATTGTAAAGACTTTGGTTTGGAATTTTTGTCTACTGAAGGAAACAAAAGGTCGTATACAGTCATTATAAATAAACAAAGTCATCGATTGCCATATGGACGTCACTTGCAATTATGACCTCTGAAATTCGTGAATAAAAGCTAGCACTAAACTTCATCTCATAACAGAATGAACCGTGTAAATGTGAAAGAAGACCAAAGATTAGAATCTTTTTAAAATATAATGGGTTCCAATTATCGGTTAATAATTTTGGTTATGAGTTCTCGCCATGAAAAGAAAGCATTGTAAACCAAGAACGATCAGTTTCAGATATCCGTTGCTTTATTAAGAAATTTATCAAGAGACAACGCTATAGTCGAGAGATAAAAGATATGGCCGTAGCCAGCAGAAATCGAATTTTTTAACAAGAAGTAAGGAGACGTTTTAGAGATTGCACTCGGGGTGACGTTAATAGCTTTTATTATACACATTACTTGGAAAGTACGTAACAGGTAGATGAAATCGTTCTATGTATTTGTATCAGGATCAATAGAAGATATGGCCATGTCCGTCCGTCTGTCTGTCCGTTCTTATGAACGTCGGGATGTCAGGAACTATAAAAACTAGAAAGTAGAGATTAAACATGCACATTCCAGAGACATAGACGCAGCACAAGATTGTTTAGTGATGCTGCCACACCCACTCTAACGCCCACAAACTTCCCAAAACGGACATGCCTACACTTTTGAAAAATGTTTTGATATTTTTATTTATTTTTGTTAGTCTTGTAAACTTTAAAAAAATCTTGGAAAATTGTATTTTTTGTTCATTTTATTATTTTTTTTACCAATATTGCAAAAATGTTGAAATTTCTCGTTCGCAATTTCACTAGCTCCACGTCTTTATATGGCCCTCTAATGTATTAAATTCCAAATTGGCAAGTAAACTATATTTCCCTTCAAAAATATGACTTCGATTTTAAGAAACACAATCAATTGTGTAAACCAAATTTAAAACAAGAGAGAACGTTACAGTCAAGTTTAGATATCCATGTCCATGTATATCGACTTGCATAATGGCACTGATCATGATTACATAAAAATATAGTAATGTTAAATTTCCGTTTACTAAAATTTCTTTATGCTCTTGTTGCTTTAATTTTGGATCGAATGTTATTCTAAAGTGTGTTATATATGCGATTATTTTAAAAATAAAGCAAGACGCGTGCCTTTGATAAAAAAATCTATGGAAAAGGGAACTCCGACATACATACTGAGTTTTACGTGCTATTGAAAGACGGTGTCGGTTGAAAAACTTATTTTTAAATCAGGTGTTAAATTATGGTTTCGCGTATTCATCTGGCTACTAACTTCATTGAATGATAATTTGAATTTTCCTAATCAAACATTATACCGTAATGTGTGCAAATTGTTTGATAATCACCAGTCCCGAAGGAGTTAACGTATTAAGTTTAATTCCACAATAGAATATACATACATATATACAACTGTGACTGCCAAGGAAATGAGACAGAAGGGTAGTTATCTACACTCGCAAAAAAAAAACCACATACATACTTCTGTTTTTAATAATATCTTTGCATAAATGAAAGGCAGTATCTTCCACAAAGATATAATTTTTGGTAAATTATAACTAAAATTCAGGTTTTAAATTTGTTTTATTTGTTAAAACATTTTGATTATAAGCAAAAACACCTGTACAATTTACATTAAGATATACTGCTAAATATGTTGAAAATTGCTAACACTATTTGTAATACTAAAAGGTGTCAAAGATTTATATGCTCCTATAGTAATATACTTGTAATATTTAAGGGTTCGCAGACTGGGTATTACTATTACTACTTGTTTTCATTAAAAGTGATGTAACAAATCGAAATAGGCGTTTCGACCCAGTGTCTTTTATTTATAAAAGCAGATAGAAAAATCCCAAATTCATAGATTGCCTCCAGGAGTTCCATACCGACAACAAATAAACATCGAGCTTTAAAACACTGGGACATTTTTACAAGTGCATCTTTCTTTCTCATTTGCTATTAGCTGTAAGGCAAAAACAAGATTGCTGCTGCTCGCCGACGGGAAATCGTTAAACGGTTTTTAAACAACTAGCAAAACCAGGTCTGGGACAAGGACAAAGGCCAGCTAATCCCAAGACGCACGCACAGCAGGAAGCAACCACAAAAATATGTAATTTTAACAGTAACGGAGCAACAGCGACATCAGTCATGCAAGGATAACACCAACAATAAGGCGTATCAGCAATGTGAAGAAGGGGAACAGGACACTAATGAAATAAATGAAACGGCGCTGAGTAAAATTGAGGATGGGCCAAGGCGACTTTAGATGTGGACAAGTGAAGTAGGCAGTGGGTGGTGGCTGATGGCTGGTGACTACCAAAACAATTATTTTTATCTGCTTTGGCTGCCATTGGAGCTGAGCAAGATCTTCCGAAGCCGGTGTTTAAGTACTCTGAGCTTACAATCCGTTTACAACCAATAAACCCCATTGGGAAATAGAAGCCATTGAAACTCGCTGGGCAATAGAGCACCCCCATTTTCTTTTATGAAAAATGTGGCGTACTGACGGATGATTTAAGGACCCATATCTCAAACTCCCTTTATTTTAAACAAATTCTGATGCAAAAAAACCTTGAGAAGAACGCCTATAAATTCTCCTCTACAATTAGCTTCTGTTTGAACGTCTAGTTCTTGTCAACTACAGGAGCTACAAAGAATTAGAATAAGATAGAAGAGTCGCCTAAACAGCTCAAAGTATATCCAATTATTATAAAACCTTTTTTCGGTACAATGAAGGTGAATTAATGAAATAAAATATGTTATATACACATATATCTAAATAAAACAAGATAGAATGCTATAGTCGAGGTCGAGGTCTCCGACTATCAGGTAACCGTTACTCAGCTAGTGGAAGTGCGAACGGGAAATTTGAACATTTTCTGGAATATCAGTAGAAATTGGGAAAGGAAAATAAAATGAAAAAAACAATTTTTTAAACGTGTGGGCGTGACAGTTTTTGGCGGCTTGTGGGCGTGGCAACATTTGGAAACAAACTTGCGCTGCAAGAAGCATCTAAAAGCAGCATGCCTTACCTCAACATTCTAGATTTTGTAGTTTGCTTTTATATGGTCGCAAAGGCATCCTTCTGTCTGTTTTTGTTGCGTGATAACATAGACCCACCTTTAAATTTACAAAATTTAATTCAAATTATTAAATCTTTTTAAGTAAAAAAGTTAAAAGAAGCTACCGTTTTAATTTAGATGTCAATGGCTATAAATGCCTTAACAGTTATTAGCATATGAAAATTTTTTGACTAGCGGGTTTTTCCAGAGCGGTTGACACAAAAAAAAATTATTTCAAGAGATCCCAGAACGTTTTGTCACAGAAATACACTCAATCAATTTTTGGTTTAAGAAGTTTTCCGAAATTGTATTTTGGGAATAAAATCTTTAAAATCAAATGATCAATCAATGCGTATTTCAAACTAGAATTTGTATTATATTTTGTTGGTAATGTATTCTAGTACACTAATGTTAATTAATTTGCCTTCCCTAGCTAACCGTAGCACAATGCTTGGAACAGTATTTATTTGTAATCTGATTCGTGGTGAATTTTATAGTCCCGACTTGATTAATCGGCTAAACTTCTCTGTTCCAAGCAGATTCACTAGAAACTACTTATCCAGAATTTTAAATCACTGTAGATCTAACTTTGAGTTGCATGACAATAATGACATAATACAGAGTATTATCTCTGCCGCTCTCAAAGCGATCAATACTAACTTATTTAACACATAATTATTTCTTACTAATATTAACCTATTTCCTCGTTCCTTTACTATTTAAAAAAAATGTTACTCATTACAAACCCTACCAGGGACAGTTTCTTTAAATTTTAAACCTACACTTCATAGATTTTCCTCCTGAGCCTGGTACCTTTCTATGTGTGTATTAGTCGTTAGAATCGAACAAGCACAGCTGATTTTCATTTGTTTGAAATATTAGCACTCTTCTCCTGCGCTTCGTCACTACGTGAACTGCCGTCAGCAGTAATGTAAAATATGCTATGCAGAAGCAAGAAACTTGTTTATTAATTTTCGCGTAAATAGTGTCAGTTATAAAACAACAAAATGTGCTGTGCAAGTTAAATTCAACAAAATTTAATTTTTAAAAACTATTTTTCTGTTTTCTTTGTGAAAAATAATGTAATGCCAACAGTTTATTACCTTCGAATCATATATTCTAACCAATTAATCTTTTGTTAAGTTGCTACTATTTATTTAAACTAAAATAGATCTATAACAAAATGTACAACAATGAATTTTATTTTTATTTAAAATAAAAAATATCAAAGTCGGACTGAAAAGCGGATGGTGCGATTTCATCTATGCTCTAATTGAGTTATATGAGCTTCGACTTTGTGTTGTAATTGGGCGGTTGCGACAGATGTTGGAACTTCACAATTGAAACCAGATACCTGTTTATTATCTGATAAAACTGGTTACGCGCGTACATTGAGGGTGCGCAGAATTTTATTAATGGTGGTGTTTCTTGACATTTCTATTTGATGGCCCTAATTTTCGCACTTGATAGCAAACATTTTACTTGCACCTCGTAAACGACAATTTAATTAATATAAGTTATAAGTAGCTATATAACCTTTACAAATGTTTGAATTATTATTGAATTATTTAGGGACAGGCTTTTTATCAAAATTGCAAATTGTCGTATTTAAATTGTTTAAAAATCGGTGATTTTAACCTTTTTATATTAAAAACAAAGATGCTATGATTTTTTTTTTATTTATTACCAAGTAATTTCCAAACTGATTATATGGCAGCTACATGCTATATTCGTCAAATTTTCATCAAATTAAAACCAACATTTTATTTTGCCAAAGAACAAATTAAGAGCAAATTCAGGCACTATTCCTAAGAGTCTTATTTGTTGTAAAATTTTACACTGTTGATCAATTTAATTTGATCAAATTTGGACTATATCATATTATAGCTGCCGGAGGAAAAGTAGAAAAATTAAAGTAAAACGTTCTTATTCGGCAAAACCATATAACATAATTAAACACTATATATTATTTTTATTTTAATTTGATCCGTATATATCGGAAAGTTCTTTGAAAATAATAGAAAAGTATTCAAAGTAGCTTTTTTTATCATAAATACCCAAAGCTTCGCATTACCCAAGCTGCTTGTAGACTAAAAGGGTATACCAGACTCGTTGAAAAGTGTGTAACAGGTAAAAGAAAACGTTTCCATATAGGTATATTTATATATATTTTTGACAATGATCAATAGCCGAGTCGACCTGGCCATGTCCGTCTGTATGAACGCCGAGATCTCAGGAACTATAAAAGCAAGTTGAGATAAGGCATGCAGATTCCATAGACGGAGCGGATGTTTGTTGACCCATTTTGCCACTCCCACTCTAACGCCCACAAAACGCCAAAAACTGTCACGCCCACACTTTTGAAAAATGTTTTCATATTTTTTAATTTTTTTGTTAGTCTTGTAAATTTCTATCGATTTGCCAAAAAACTTATTGCCACGCCCACAAACCGATTCCAGAAAATGTTGACATTTCTCGTTCGCACTTCCACCAACTGAGTAACGGGTATCTGCTAGTCGAGAAACTCGACTTTAGCATGCTCTCTTGTTCTTGCTAATTTCAATCAATATGCCAATAAAACTGAAATTTACCATTGCAGTCCATCTAGTTGAAAACCGGATATCTGATAGTCGAGATCGACTATCATTACTAACTATTATACTATACTAAAACTATACTAAAAACAATTGGAGTTGATATGTAAATACGCTATCTAAAAATGACATATTCGCAAGCTACACTATAATTTCATTCAATGAATGTTATATAAGAAACAAATATAAAATCGTGTCAAATCAATGAGTTGTTCAAAAAACACCAAAATTAGAAAACATTACTGTTTTGTATTATTTTGCGCTCAAGTGGAAAAAGACAAAAGTCGTTAATTTCATTGATTTCGCAATGTATACATTTTTGAGTGCACAAATTTTATACAACAACGAACAAATATTAAAACCTGTGACAAAGCCGGGAAAGGCGGAAATAGAACCAACTGAGGATGGAGCCGCAACAAATGTGTATTTCTATGTACTCACCCTTGCGTTGTGTTTTTTGCCGGAGGGTGTCTCTTACAACCCTGACGAGTATGACAGACATTGCTTCGACTGCTGAATATTATAATGCCAAGAATTATTGAGTAACAACTAGTTTGTTAGTGTATATATATGTATATATATTTATTTAGGTATTTCAGGGTTTAACGCACATCCTCTTGTGACCTAAGGTATATTTTTATTCTGCAGTTCATAACATTTCTAATTTTATAGAAAAATTTAAGTTTTTGATCGCATTTTCGGAGTGGTTATGGTCCTTCGACATAGTCTCGAATGCCAACATTTATGCGACCCTCGGCAGCTGTTACTGAAAATCCAAGAATGCGGGCGTCCATCTTAGTCATCTTATTCTTTTTAATCTTTTTCTGCTTGTTCTTAAAAATAAATACAATTATGTTCAATAAAATTAATGGGATGTGAAATAAATATGCTCATATATATGCTCATAAATACCTTGCTGTCAGCATAGTCGTTCGCAGATGGAGTAATAGCAGGAGCCGGTTTGCACATATCGTCATTGTGTGCATTTTGGGCACGTTGCAAGCTTTTGTATTTGCTACGTCGCTCCAAAAACTGTTTTGCGAAATCCAAAGAATCTTTTCCATCACCTAAAAGATTACACTCTGGGTTAAAGATCGAATTTAAAAAGCGAAATATTTTTTGGAAAGACCTTTTCAAGTTTGTCAAAAATTATACCCGGTTACCGGCATTTTAAATTCATAGTACTAAAAAACATTGTTATCAGAAAATTAAAAAAAAAAATTTGTTAATTTTGATTTTCTTTAAATTAATTTTTTTTTACTTTTTCAGTCCGATAGAGTACCTAGAATGTTTATGTTCAGCCTCAATTCCATTTGTGGCTTCTGCGGATTCCGATGTTTATCTGAATGCGGCTACGTAAAATTGGGCTGTTACATATAGTTCAACTTTGAAGGCTATGTCCATTCGATTTTAAATCCGTTATTTAATATTAATCGAACAGCTTACAAGAAAATTTCATCCAAAAATATCTTTGGAGCTACCCCATTTATATTCATTTTACGACTGTGTAACGTCATTTAATATTTATTTGTGGGCGTGGAAGTTCTTCGAAACAAACTTCGCAGCTTAAACATCACTTGAATATGCATGCTTAATAGTTAACGCGATCTTGCTGCTCATTCGGAACGCCGTACGGACGGACAGAATGTCTAGATCGATTCGGCGAGTGATCCTAATCAAGCACATGTATACCAGTAGCTTACAATTAAACAAATCTAGGTTACTCATTTACTCTTTCAGTAACTGGCTTAAAACAATAATCATCCTTTACTTAAAATCTTAGAAAATCCTAAGCTAGTTGGAGTGTGAACGAGAAAGTTCAACCTATTGTATGATAGGTTCAAGCCAGAAAGTTTAGATTAAGCATGCAGATTCCAGAGATACAGCGCCCCAATTTCTATGTTGAACTTTCTCGTTCAAAACTAGCTTAGTGAAGGGTATCTGATAGTCAAGGAACTCGACTAAAGCGTTTTACTTGTTTATTACTTACCAAGGTATATTCGGACATAGTCCTTTACTTCATATGGCGCTTCCAAGTCCTGCAAGAATGCCACGAACGTGGGTACTAAAAATATAAGGAAAATTAAGATTTAAAAAGATACAAATTATGCAAATATTTACCATCGACTTTAGCGGACATATTATCTAAGCTCTTTATGCACCAGCTAGTGAACTCGTTTTCATACTCATTAACCTTGCTAATGACTTGGTCGGTGCTGCTTTGCTGCACATGACTTTTTACATTCGTCTTTCTTTCTTTTTCCTTCTCTTCAACTGAGACAGGTGGACCTTTTGAACGAATTTGGGCCAAATTTTGTTTCTCTGGCCGTTGTCCTGGTCCACTTTTATTTGCCTTTCCTGGGTTATTTAAGGCTGGCACTGTTTGACTCTTGCGCAAATTTCGAGGCGACGCAAATAAAGCCGAAGACTTATTTTGAGCTTGTAGATTGGATTTACTAGTTGAGTTCAATCCTCCTGCCAGGACTGCCGCCGCAGTTACGGAACTGGCACAGCTTGTTCCAGATCCATAAATTGGTTGAATAGAACCTAGTGCATTCGGTTCGTCCCATAGACCAGTTCCAGAACTTGTTCTTAATGAAAGTGATTGAGAAGCGGACGAGCTCCATGCTTTATTAGCGTTACCCCAGATGTTGGAAGTTGCACTTGCTACCAAAACCGCTGATGATAGAGGAGCTTGTTGGTGATGTTCCAATTCGCGTCGACGCTGCTGATCCACAAGGTCGTTGGCCAACCGTCTTGCCTCTTCCGCTTGAATCTCGGCTAGACTTATTACGGGGGCCGACGCTGGCGTTGACTGCCATTTGAGCAGAGCATCATTGGCTTCAGCTGCAGCTGCAGCATTGGCACGCAATTGCTTATCTAATAGCTCTTGATGTCGCTGCTGGTCTGCGCGACGCTCTCGACGTTCTGCCTTTTGTATCTCTGCGAGACCAGGCGCAGTGCTCATAGAATTTGGAGACTGCAGAGACCAAGGCGCTACGGATGTAGATGGTAAGCGAGAGGATGCTTGCGGCTCTGCTGTTTTGGCTGCGTCGTTCCTGTTGCCTTGTGCAGACGCGAATGTTCCTATAAATAAAACATAATAATAATAAATCATTGCAATAAGAGTTTAAAATGTAACGCTTTGATGGCATTTTTAATTTCTTTCGCAAATATTACTGTTCTTAAACTAAAACCAAAGTATAAGCTCCCAGTTTAAAACACCTTTTTTTTTTTATTAAAAAAATGGTTTAAATTATGTTCATTCTATCAAATATTTAATGTTAGTTATAAAATGCATATACAGTGGTGGACACTAATTTAGCACACTACGCATTGTCGATTTTATTTTCTTATTTTTTCAGTTGTTAAAATCAGTAATATGTTATGTTATATGTTGTTAATATCAGTAATATTTTATTGTGCCGTTAGGTTACTAAGTAGAGAAGAAGTACCGTTATTTTCACCTCTCTTCTTTCTTTGCCATTCGTTTTTATCCAGACACCCCCAAAATTGGCTGGACAATTGGCACTCTGATCGTTACTTACAGTTGTTGGAAGCAAGTGAATTTTTCGATCTTAAATTATTTAATTGTGCTTTATTACTTCGATAAATACAAAAAACTTAGGTTTAAAATGGCTAAAGGTCGCTGGTGTACTGAAGCACAGCGAAATGTCATCCAAATCATTAAATCGGCGGGAAAATCAATTTCATATATTTCAAAGGATCTTGGCTGCTCTCGAAAAATGGTTTATAACGCTTTGAAACATATTGAAAACAATGGTAATGAAAAAGGCAAAAACAAATACGACAACCCCGAAAAACCACAGCCTGGCAGGACAGTCTCATTCAAAAAGAATCCAGAGCTTCAAGGGCGATTAGAAATGAAATTTCATTACCCCAAGGAGTAAATGTGTCTTCCAGAACGATAAGGAGACGTCTTAATGAAGAAAATCTACGCGGATGTATAGCACAACACAAAATATATATAGCACAAAAATAATATAAAGGCAAGAATTTAATTCGCCAAGGAGCATATGAACAATAATAATAATAATAATAATAATAATATATAATATAATAATAATAATAATCTCTGATGTTATGATCCTCTATGCAGATTTACCGTTACACTGGCGTTTTATGCACGATAACAATTCTAAGCACACTTCACGACTAGTGAAGAGTTGCCTTGAGGATAGCAATATTGACGTAATGAAGGGCCAGTTCAATCCCCCGACCTCAATCCTATTGAGAATGGTGGATGTTCAGAAGCAGATTGGACTTGTAACACCCAGCACAATAAAAAATGCTTGGTCTCGCATACCGCAGAAGGGATTCCAGATTTGGTGCAGAGTTTGCCACAAAGACTTCATGAAGTATATAAACATAAAGGAATCCAACATAATATTCAAAGTTAAAATAAAAAAAACATTTATTACTGTATAAAAATACACTGTTTTGTCAAGTGTGCTAAATTCGTGTCCAGCCCATTTTGGGGGTGTCTGGATAAAAACGAATGGCAAAGAAAGAAGACAAAAGCTAGAGGTGAAAATAAAAATCTTCTCTACTTAGTAACCTACCCGCACAATAAAATAGTACTGATCTAATCATTTTACAAATGAAAAAATAAGAAAAGAAAATCGACCATGTGCTAAATTAGTGTCCACCACTGTATACAGCAATAATTCGATTTCAAGTACTAACCTGGAGTCCCACTTTGAACTGATTCAGCATTGCCTATTAATGCCTTTCGACGTTGGGCTTGTATTTGCTGTTGCCTCTCCTTTTCCTCTCGAATTTGGCGGGCTCGTTCTTCAGATTCATGCAACGCCCTACGTTTTTCATCTTCCAATTGCTGGCGCTTGCGTTCCTCCTTTTGCTTTTTTTTTTCTTCTGTCTGCTCTCTTTTGCGATCATCTTCATTAATTTGCTTAACTAAGGCTGGCTGTGTCGCATTCTGTTTTGTATTCAGATTCTGCTTATTAGCCTGCTTTGCCTGGTGCTGATGTGAATTTTGTTCCTTATGATTCTGTTGAATGTCGGAAACAAGGGATTTGACTATTTTTTGATTATGTGAATTCTTTAAATTTTCAGCGGTCTGATCTAAATCCCCTGAAGTGCTGTGTTTAACAATATCTCCCGATTGAACTTGTAATAATGGTGAAATTTTCACATCTTTTTTTGTATCTACAAAGCACGCCTCAGAAGACTTCTGCACATATAGTTGCTGATCGTCATTACGCTCTTCATTTAAGTGGCTCACTCCCCATAATGATGCTTCCGCGTTAGTCATTCCAGCCCACTGTTGGTCGGATTGTTGTTGCTTGTTAGGGGGTAACCAGATAGGAATCATTAAATTTTGCCTCTGTAACAATTGTGTTTCAGTTAAAAAATCCACTCCAGAGAGATTTTCGTTAGCAGAGTTCGGCAGCGAAGGTGGATGCTGTTGAGTACTTGTTGGTTGGCCCCGCAAAAGCATCCGTAAGTTGTATTCATTAATTAAGTCCAACTCATTCCTTGGCTGTTCATTAGGCTTACTAAGGTCGGGTGCAGTTCCACCTTGCATAATACAATCAACGGATGCTGCCAAGGCACCTACCTCTTGTTGCGATTGCTGATGCATTATTTGGGCGTTTAGAATAAAATTATTAGCATCTAGTAAATTGCCCACTGAACGTTGATGCTCGCTGTTGTTTGCAAAAATATGTTGCTGATCTTTCTTGGCCTGCTCAACCACTGTACTGTATAACTGTCTTCCGGCGACGGGGTTCAGTACGGACAAGGAGTTGCTTAATCCGTTTAAACTAATCAAATACTCAGGAAGAACCAGCATTTGAACTTTCCGACGAACAACTGTTTCCTGCTCGGCAGCCGAAAGCCGCTGAAAGCATTCATTTTTCGACAGCTCAGCTAGTATTTGGTATTCCTGGTGCTGTAAGTACTGATCCTGAAGCATTTGAAACCGCATTGTAAGCAAATGAGATGTATTACTAATGCTATTTCCGCTAAAATTTCCTTTTATTGCAGCACTTAGAGATTCAGCGGTTGCGGTTACATTTTCCTTCAGATGCTCATCTCTTTGCTGCTGCAACTGCTGTTCAACAACAGACAGTGCGATAGGAATTGGTGATGGCTTATGGGGTGTAATTGAGAGGGACGCTGTAAGAGGGGTTGGTATTTGACCAACAGAAAGGTTCTCTAGGTCTATAGGCGAAGGAAGCAAGTGACTGTGCGTAAATGGCATGTTACCATGACAAAATTTTATAAGCTCTCCCAGTGGTCTAAACCTATTCTCAGAGTACCGGCGTACAAAGAGGTTCTCATTGAAGTAGCCAGCGCGATACCATTCGGTCATCTCAATGGCACTGAATGGCCCCTGTACATTTGCCTGCGGATCCCGGTAAAACCACAATTCATTCAGATTTGAATTGATCATATGCGGTGTAGGAAGCATCGGAAAATGTGGTAGATGCATGTTATGATGTTGCAAAGTCTCATGATCCGAAAACGAAACACCTGGATGCTGATGGGCTGGATGAGCGACATCTGTAATTGTATTGGGAACTCGTATGGGCATGGTGGAAGGCGCTTGCTGTTGCACTCCTGTAACACTCGGTTCTATGCTTATCTCAATGGCTGCTAGACTTGGTAGTGCAGCTGTAAACCGGTCATCATTTTGAAGTTCGCTTTGATTCGCCGAGCTTTTATGATCATCATCCATTATAAGTTTTTCTACTTCATCGGCGACCTCTTTGATCCGTTCTGAAATATCTCCATGGATCTCTTCCTTCTTTGTCGTTGTAGAGCTTTTTGGGGATAAACTGCTTTCAACTTCTTCTTGCACAGCTGCTGAATTGGAATCTTTCGTTAATAAGGTTTCTGAGGTTTTATCTTTAACACTATCTGCATCAGACAGGTCTTTTCTTTTTTGGTTTGTCACATCGTTATCGGAGTTTAAGCTTTCGGTTTTTAAAATATGCGAACTTTTGTTAAGTTTTAGATCGGTATCTCCATGAAACGCTCCACTAGCATCAAAACTGCCACCCAACTCCGATGGATTTTCCATTGCCCATTCGGGAAGATTTTCGTCGACATCAACACCGCCTGCACTATTAACAGTCCATAATTGGCTCGACAAGCGTGGGTGCGATGTGCTTCCTCCCGGCTCTGCAACTCCCATTCCAGATCCTTTACTGTTTCCAGTGCGGTCTCGATCTGTACCTAAAGTCCCAACTGATGAAATCGAACGTTGCAAACTAGTTGTATTCTCGACGCTAGGGTCTTCATCACGCCAGCTTGTAGATCTTCCTAAAAAAAAAATATGAAAAGAAAAATTTTGTTACATTATATTCTTATATTTAAATTGCAATTTTTTGGGCCAGTTACAAAAGAGGAATAACGGATACCCATCCAAGGTTGTAAACTCAATATAAATAAAATGTATTAGTCGGCGACACTGTACTTCACATCGGCAACGGAAGGCGTCTTCCACATGTTTATACATGGATTGCACACTTAATTTATATTTTGTGGTTGAGTTCTAAACTAAAAAAATTGTTTCATTAAAATGTCAAGCTTTTAAATTGTAATAAGCACTTTTCTGTAGACTAGGTACACATAATATGTTGGCTCTTTGACATTGCGGGACAATCAATCCGATTGCATGCTGTATTATGCTCTCCATCAGTTGTATTCACCGCTACAAAACCCGAAAATTAATATTATGAAGCAAAAAACATTATTCGGTGGGTTTTGAGCTACTTGTTGGTGCGCGATTAAAGTAAATAATAAAAATTACGGTGATATAATTTGTTGGTAAGTAAGAGGGCAAGCAAAGCATTGTTATACACCTTCTTATGCGAGCTTCACTTCAACTACAAAGGTCAAGGTCAAAGGCCATGAGATTTTCTTTTTTCATTACTTAATCTTTCCCTTTATGATAAGGAGCATTGTAGCATTATTGGAACTCATTTTAACTAAACCCATATTTATATACTATCTATGGCAATACCACTATGTAGTAAGCAGCATTTTTATGAACATTTTTTAGACAAAAACGAAATGAATTGTCTTTGCTTACATTTTTTTAAGCTGAAAACATGCTATTTTCTATATTTTATAATCCTGAACTTTAAAACTGCCGTTAAGCTTTGACACAAGGCTTATTTTGGGCTCGTGTTTTTTGATAAATCAAGTGTATTCTGGCAAAAATACAAAAACACTGAATTTCCCACTGAAAATAGGTATTTTTAAAGATTATTATGCGGTATCTTTTATAAAAATTAGCCTCATTACTAAAAGATTTCTTATAAAAAATAATAATATAATATTTATCAAAAAAAAAAAGTGTATAAGAAGAAGTTTAAAAGAAATACAAACTTAAAAAACAGATTGTAGCATGAATGGTATCTTTAAAGAACTATAACTATATTGAATATAAAAATAATACTATAGTGGTAATTGACTAACCCCAGCGATGGCTATTGGTACCAAAACTTGTGCTTGTACTTCCACCGACGACACCGCTCCGCCAACCAGCAATATCGGGTCCTCCGATGGAACCGCTGGTAGCTGGACCATCTCCGGATCCATCTTCGTTACGTGTTCGTCGCCAATTTTCCAAGTTGCGATGATGACTAGAATAATCTTTTCGAGGACTTGAGCTTGGCGTTCCGTTCCAATCTATACCACCAGGGCCACTAGTGGAGGTGGTGGTAGCCGCAGAATCTCCAGTTCCGTTGCGATCGCTCCATGTGCGTTCGGCCTGGGAGCAAACAAAATCAGCAACGAATCGTACTTTTTTTTTTAATCCGTATTGCAAATTACCTTAACTGATATTACCGATAAGCTTTCATCATATAGACCGCTTGGGCGTTGGTATATTGGATGATATGCAGATTTTCCGCGCATTCGGCCCCGGTCGACTGTTCCACCACGTCCAGATCCTCGGGAGGCACTACCAAATCCACCGGGCGAGCGCTGCAACCAGGCAGGACGAGACTATTTTCAAAGTAAAGGAAATTATGTTACGAAAATCATGTCAAATTTCTTAGCATACGTTATTGCCAAGCGAGTTTTGGTTGGTGTCCTCCTCCGAGCTCGGTGTTAGTGCAAGCGGGTACTGGACCTTCTCCACGAAGAGCTTTCTGAACGATGGTAGGATATGAGGCAGTAGGCAATTCCGATCGAACAAGGACAGCATTTCCTCGCGTCCGTACCGGTATTCTGGAAATAGATTACGCGAAGTGGATGCTGTCGTGTTGTTTCCCAGGTTGTGCCCTCCAATCGAGATGTTTTGAGCACCAGTACCAACGTTGTAGGTACTGGGAGAGCTCGAAGGCTCGGCTGACATATTGCGTAACCATTCCGGACCAAATTTCATTGAATCTGTCATTTTCAGTTGCCTCCTGTTTAATGTTATGCTGACACTAAATTCAAAAAAATGTTTTTAGTTGATTGATTTGCACATGTTCAGATCGCCAATAAAATTAAATTTTCGTGGTACTCGTTAAACTCTTATTGGCTTTATTATTAGGTAGACAATTGTTTATTTTTCACAGTTGATGTTCTATAAATAAAGCACACTCAATCCAAATAGTCTTTTTTTTAAAGCAATCAATACAGGATTCATTTTAAAAGTAACTTAAGGACTAATGATAAATAAACATGACAGTGCTTGACTGAATGCATAGAAATAGCTAAATATTATAATACAAAATATAAAGCAACACAGAAACCTAACCTAAAATATGAAACTGACTGTCATACACGAACGCCAAATACACATGCACACTCAACACACATTTTAAACATACATGTTCATAGAGTTCAAATGCCTCATTCGAGCTCCTTTTTCAATAGAATTCTTTAAATTTATATAAATCACAGCATAAGTAGAGAACTACAAAAAAAAAAAAAAAGTTCTTTAGTATCTACATACACAGTGATGTACATATGTATGTGGTTTCATCGCACTATTGCTCTTTCGTATGGATGCGTGCAAATGGACGGGCTCATAGCATGTATGTTGTTTAGTTAATTTTTTTTTGCTGGTCTTAATAAAATTAGGCTACTACAACTCCACATTATTAATAAAAAATTGAATTCTGTTAAAATATTCTACTTACACGTACCACCAAGATATTATCGTAAAATACCAATACCAATATAGAGGGTGAAACCAGTGTGGCCGTCTTTTAAAATGTAAAGTAAACTATATAACTTAGCATAGGGGTGTTTTTGACCTTATGTTCCTTCTACACTAGCTCCACTACCAATACTCGGCAGATCCAACAACCTTGTTTCCACATTGCTACATTAAGCACTAAACCGCGAGGTAGGGAAAATATTCTACTCTCACTTTCTGAAACAAAACAGCGTATGCTATTTATAATATAAAACATTTTCTCCTAAAAATAAACACATTTTAGCTATAATTGAGCTTGTTGTATACAAACAATTTGAGTTTCGAGCGCATATGCAAATTTCTGGAACTTTCAAAGTTGAAATCAATATACAGATATATCAATATACAGATGGATATACATAAGCACTTTCTTGTGAAGAAATTCAATAATAATGTTGAACTTAAGCTAGATATTTATACCAGGAATTAGATTCAGTTAGAAGTATGTAACTGGTAGAAGAGAAGTGAGATTTTTTTCTTTTGTCTTTGCGAAAACATTTTGGCAACGCCCGCTCTTACTCCCAACATTTTAAAAATTACTTCGGATTCCCTTTGATTGAGTTTTGGGTATCTAATAGTCGAAGAAGTCGACTATAGCATTCTCTGTTGTTTTTGCATTATTATTTCATTATTTTCAACGCCGAAGCTAGCTTTTGTAAAAATAAACAAGTGAGAACACTTCCCCATTTTCTCGACTATCAGATAGCCTCTGTTACTAAGTGAGAATGAAAGAATTGATATTCAAGATTGAACACCACATGGCTGGGGATACATTTACTGCTTGCTACTTTCTGACGTCACTGATAGTATTACGCCCTAAAATTTTAATTATTTAAAAACCATCTAACTTAGAACGTTTTAGGTCTGTTTTTGGGTATTCCATTAGATCTTGAATAAATAAATAATCAGTGATTATTGTTCAAAAGGCGAGAGAGAGCGCACTATACCGTTGTCGCCATTAGCTGCATAGTACAAAACCAAGCCTTTACTTAGTGATTAAATTATTCATTTGTATACCTGATCTGTCCGTCCGTATGAGAATCAATTATACTATTTTCTTTGTAAGCAAACATTTTCATTTACTAAAAATTATGTTTTAAGATATTTTGATCGCATCATCCAATTCTAAAATATTTTTATAATACTGAAAAATGTATTGTGGGTGAGCGTTCTGTTCTGTTCATCCTAAAATGCATGTCGTTACGCACGTGGCCGCAAGCATGCGCATGTTACAGAAACAGAATGGAAACAGAATGGAAGTTTTTAAGTCCACAGCAACAAATTTTTTGCTCGTTTCTATACATTTTATTAATTTTTAAGGATCCAACAAATTGGGTTAGCATTTACCCTCGCAAAGCTTACCTCTCCAAGTATCACAATGCGCCATAGGTTTTATGAGTCTTCTCGTCCTTCTGGATAAGCTACCGTAATGTTTATAAGTAATTATTTAGCCACTAATGAGATAGAGATCAAGAAACATGTCTAATCGCAAATTGAATGAAACCGCTTGGATATTACAGATATTAAGATATTACTTTCGTACTGTAAGCCTCTTCAATGGTACATTCACATGTAGGGGTCTAGTTAAGGATTATCTTAACACATTGATAATTATTTTCAAGATTTACTTAATATACTTTCATTTATTGCAATAGAAAAAAATAAAGACTAACATGGACTTATTGTGTATGTGAAGAATCTTTAACAAATGTTTTTAAGAATTACCAATTCATTATTATACAGGTACTTATTTACATAAATAGGAATGTGCGTTTGTGATTTTAAAATGTACAGATGAAAATGGATTTAAAAAATAAATAATTCAGTGCCCTGCATTATGTACAAATGTACAAATGCCAAAAGACAGAAATAGTATATTAATTTTTGTAAGTGTGTGGGTGCGCTTAAAATATAAATTTTTAACATAATATTCATAATATTTTTGTATACGTGACCAAACATATCTTTTATAGCATATTTTAAGTTAAGACATATATTTATATTCATATATTATGAATGATTTCTTTCTGATTTTACAAATTCTTGTAATATAAACCTCTCCAAAAAATAAATTCAAATAAAGTTTTTTTTTTCAAATTATACAATGTTATGTAGTATTTAATATTGTAGTAGTTGTGAGGATTTGGTAGTACGAGGTGCCCGCCTTATGTGCCCATGGTTGGCTCCTGCCGTATTTCCGACTTCAGCTTGACAAATTCCTTAGCCACTTCATCATTATTTCGCTGCGACAAAATTCTTAAAATGGTCCAACCCGTCTCATCCATTTCAATACGTCTCATTAAGGGTAACCAGCATGCGACCGATCCCTATTATTCAAAACATACATAAATTCACATTATTTCATTCATACGACTTCATAGGAACTACAAACCTTTTCCGATATATCTTTTAATGGAATTACAGCCACTCCTACAAGTCGATCATCACGAGCAAAACAATAGTCCTTAACGCAAATGTGCAATTCAAAGAAGTCCAACTGCTCCTCATTTCCAATGGTGCTAGTATACACAAAAGGAAATTATTAATATTATTTATTACATTTTTTACCATTTCATGAAGAATCTTACAAGCTGAATGATTCGTTGTATTTGGGTGACCAGTTGTTAGACTTCGACTTTGTCGCGAACTTTCTCTTTTTTTCTTGAAGGTGCGGTCCGATCAAATTAATGTCAACAAATGGTCTGAACATACCCGAAGGTATTTGCCATTTAAGGTCATTAGCAGCAACAACTAGAGGTAAACATGTAATGACATATATAAATATTATGCGATATTTTGAACTCACCTTTCACGTTTACTTTATGTTCACCGGTGCCTGGATGGGAAAATAAGTCTATTTGCACGGATATTTCGCCGACACTATCCTCTGAGTTTTCTGGATCGACTACATTTATGTAATGAAATCAAAGTTACCAAAATTGTGAACGGGACAGTCTTTTTGCGGTTTGAGAATAAACAAAATTTTTTTTAAAAAAGGTATTTTTTAAAAGTATGGTCAAAATGGGCGATTTTGGGCTCCACCAGAAATATGGCAGAACATACGGACATGGCCAGTTCGACTTGATCCTGAACAAGAATACATATATGTACATACATTATATGGTCGGAACCTTCTTCCTTTTACAGCTTCCAGAGACTTAGACGCGGCGCAGGTTTGTTTCCGAATGTTGCCACGCCCACTCTAACGGCCACAAGCCACACAAAACTGTCACGCCCACACTTTTGAAAAATGTGATATTTTTTCTCTTTTTTATGTGTATTGTAAATTTCTATAGATTTGCCAAAAAACTTTTGCCACGCCCACTGCAACGCCCACAAACCGCACAAAACTCTCAAGCCCACACTTTTAAAAAATTTTTAAGTTTTCTTTTATTTGGTTTTTTTTTTTCACCAATTTCTACCGATATTCCAGAAAATTTTGAAATTTCTCGTAATGGGTACCTGATAGTCGGGGAACTCGACTATAGCATTATTTTTTGTTTGTAGTTTATTTGGTTGGATTAAAATTTTCCATATGATTGATTAACATAGACAAATATTTATATAACAAAAACAAATATTAAAGAAAAGTTGTCTGTTTTTATTTTTATAAATTGGTTACCTGGGAAATAATGAACGAATTTAATTCGGAAATCCTTCTCAATGCTTCTCACAAAAACCATAAAGGGCGTGTCTCTTAGGCACGATTTTGTAATGTTTTTGGGCATCGATGAATTGTAGATTGCTTTAGAACCAGCTCTATGAGTACAATAGAACCATCTTAGAAGCCAATTCGAAAAAAATGTTAATGTCTTAATGTCTTTTGTGTGGGTTTAACAGTTTGTTGCGGATTTTGAGCCTTAGGGTGGATGTGGCCAAAAGAAGTTTTGGTGTACCGACTAAAAATGGCAAAATACACTTTCAAATAAAAAAATAAAAAATCGTTCAATAGCATGGCGTGACAGTCTGGGCAGTGCAATGGCCAGCCCTTATGTATGTACATATATCTATACTCTATATAAACAAAAAAATACCTAGGAAGTATTTAAAGAAGGTATCTTGTGAGGGCGATACGTACCCCAGCCGAAATATTCTAATAAACGCATAAAAGTGTTTTTTAATTTAAAATTGAATTCATTCAACGAATCGAAAACGAAATAATACAGTGCATTGCTAATACTTTCGTCAGAATATACATTTTTATGTATTAGAAATTTTAAAAACTTTAAAAATTAAAAATATTTAAGAAAAAAATAACAGCTGTCATTATGCAGGATCACTTTAAAGTGTACTTACCCTCGTGAACTTGGCTGGATATAAAGGTTTTGATTAATGTGTCTGTCATTTGTGTATATAAACTAAGTGCGTAACGTAAACTCTGAAGCTCGGACGACTTTTCGAGAAAGGTCTTCTTCAGTCCGTTGCCACCCGCATGAAAATATTGTTTTATTGTATCTAAGGCAACGTCGAGAACTGCGCACTGCTTGGGTGACAAGTTTTTTTCCACTTCTTTTGATATGTCCATTACGCCGCTCAGAGCACTTTTAACATCCTGCTTTCCAGCCATATGTGACTTGAACAAACGACCCATATCTTCAATTTTTGCATTGGATGCCAAGTTTTTTGCATTGTCAGTAAGGTGTTTAAACATCATCTATTTAAAAAAGTAGACATTAATTACATTTCACTAAGCTCCGTAGTATTATTATACGAACAGTTTTATCAGTCATAGGTGGTAAGACAATTGTTTTCTCTAATATTCGCATTACGATCTTCCATAACTCCTTTAGTAATCTCTTCAATACTGTTTTTTCACATGATTGCGCATAGAGAGTTAGAGAGCCATCGAGTAAATCCATAAGCGGCCTTAAAACTTCATCGGCCTCAACGGCGACCGCGTTCCGTTGGGCTGCAAGATTACCAACAGCAAGAGTTCCACTGCCTCCTTTAATAGAAAGCAACATGTCCCCAAGTTCTCGCACTGATTGAGTAATACGTGGCTCCAAACTAAAGATGTT